AGGGGAGGGGAGGAAGGTTTTGCTCCCATTCTTGAAAGGGTTTTTGGGGCAGAAATTCTAAACTGATTGCTGTTTTCCTCTCAGCACATTGAAAATATTATCCTACAGTCTTCTGGCTTCCGTTTTTGCTGCTAAAAGGTAATCAGTTTGTTGACTTACTGCTCTTCAGAAGGTGACCTCTCTTTGTTCCTGGTTGCTTTGAAGATCTTCTCTTTGTCTTTGATGTTCCACAATTTTATTATCATGTATTCTTCAGATATACCATCATATGTCCAGGTATGGAGTTTTGTTTTTCTTTGTTTTGCTTGAGAATCATTTGAATTCCTGTATCTGAGTATCACTCTATCACTTCCTTTCCACTATTTTCCAAATTTCTCCGCCATTATATTTTTAAACATTGCCCCTTTTCCACTCTATTACCTTCATCTGGAATTTTTGACTCATTCCGCTTCATTCCAGCCCCCAAGATTCATAACCATTCTGTTATATTTCCATTGTGTTGCCTCTCTGGGCTACATTTTGAATAATTTATTTGTAAAAAAAATTTGTGTCTTTATTCCAGTTAACTGATTCTTTCATTGACTGTGTTTAATCTGCAATTTAATTGATCTGTGAAGTTTTACATTTCAATTGCTACAGTTCATTGATTCTGCAACCTTTTTTTTCACATTTTAACACTACTAAAATCAGGATACATCTTACAATTGGTGGCATTGTGCAATGACAATCGGCAGTATTTTTGATGGCACATAAAATTATGATGCATCTTATAAAATCAATCCTGTTTTATAGTCAACACAATATGGTATTCATTTTTCATTTTTGGAAGTTCTACTTGATACTTTTTTTGATTCAAGCCCAAATGACTTGAATTTCTTATCTATTTTAGAATTAGTCAATTATTTCTTTAAATGTATAAGACAGATATTTTATATTCTGTGTCAGATAATTACAATTCCTAGACGTTTTAAGCCTATTTCTGCTGCGTATTCTTTCCGCTGGTTCTCACTCATGGTGCGCTTTCTCTCATGTCACGTATCCGTGAACCAGTCATTTTCCTTGAACATTTATCTGTGGAACTCCCTTGAGGTCTAGGCTGAAGGTGGGTTCTTCCAGAGGAGATTTGCATTTATTTCTGTAAGTTGCTGGGGACACTACCAAACTGAGACCACCCTAAATTAAATAGTTTAAGGTCATTTTTTTAGACTAGACTGCATAGTTAGCATAAACTTAAACCACAAACTCAGGTTGGGGGCTTACTTGTGGTTATGAAATCTTAGGTTATATTTTTCCCAGCATCCTCTAACACCAAAGTTTTAAGTCCCGGACAAGAATAGCATGTTATGTGCAAGTGAGTCGTCAGAGTTAAAGTCTTAAGGTCCCAGAATTGTTGGGAAAAAGGAGAGATACTGATAATTTTTCAGATTTTGGTAAATATGCATGTTCAACGAGCTAGAGCAACAACTAGAAGCACAGGTCGAGTGCATATAACTTCCAAACAGGTAGCAAGGGTAAAGGTGAAATGAGATGAAGGAGGAAACACAAGCCAGAAAAAGATGAGGAAAACAGGTCTACAAAAAGGAATTTTTAAAAGTAGAATGTAAAAATACCCCAGAGCCTAGAAAAAAAAAAGAACAATTTGAAAGGGCATAAAAAGAAGAAGCTTGCCTAAATATAACTGCAATAATACTAAATGTAAATTGATTCAACTCTTCAGTAAAAGACAAAAACA